GGTAACTCAATTTTATTTGTTGTTATATTTTAACCCATGAGAGTTTTTGTATCTTGGGACACCTGTTACAAAGACAGAACTAAAGCAGACAAATGTTAAGAGAATCCTTGGCTCCAAGCCTCCAATCATGGCATTCAATGTTGGTGTCAAGTTATAAAATTAGACTTTGGGTGGTTCATTTCAGGTTCAATTTTTTTTTTTTTTCTGATGAAACTCAAGTCTCTATGATCTTTCTAAAGATTTATCTTTGGTTTTTGTCAGGATTAGGTTCAGAACTAGCTGAAACCGAGCTTGGAAGAAACTTTTCATTGAAATTGAAATTTGAAAATGAAAGCTACATTATCACGTAGGTATTACGAAATTCCTTTCTTTCTTATCATTTCCTGCTATAAAAATCTGTATTGTTAAGAGAGAGAATGTGCTACTTGGAAGCCATGGTAACGAGCTAATTTGGAAAATCTATCATTATTCTTTTATTTCATTTTTTAAGAAAATTTGGTAATACCGAGTCAACAGTTAGAACTGAATTGTTACCTTGGTCCATCATTCCATGTAATTTGAGTGTGTGTGCTTCTGTAGGCAAACTACTATGAAACGATTGGAAGGGTGGAAGAGCATTAACAGGCTGTTTCCATGGCAAGCTTCAGAGGAATCCGAGATATTCATTGTATCTACCCCCAGTTTGGTTTGAAGATCTCGCCTCTCTCATTTATTATTAATATTTTTTTAAGAAGATAATGGCAGAAGTTGGTTCATATATTTCAAAATTGTAGAACAGGATTGAGATCAATGGGAAGTTTTATTAATGACAGAAGTGAATGAATTAGCTAGTTTTACATTCATTAGACGCTCCTTGTTTTTGTTGATATTTGGTGATAATCCGTGTTTGAAGTTTTTTTTAGAGTACCCTATATTGGACTAAAGACATCCATCAAGGTCTCGTGTCTTTTGAACCCAAATTCAGCTAGAACCACTAAATTAGGTTCATGTAGGGGTGCAACTTTTTCGGGTTAGGGTTGGGATTTTGTTAAATTTTCAATAGCCCAACTCGAAACCCGAGCCTGAAACTGTCTAAACTGTTAACTCGGGCCAACCCGATTTGCATCCGTCCAGTTATTCGTTTGAAAATTAAAATAAAATATAATTTGAAAAGGAATGTCAATATCCTTCTTTCAAGTACTGTTATGTATATTTTATTTATTTTTTAATACGGCAAATATTTCACTTCACATAAATATATTTAAATTCCCAATAGGTACATGTACTTTAAGCCGAGTGTCAATTTAGTACTTGAACTTTAAAGCGCATTAATCTAGTATCCGAACTTTCAAAATGCAACAATTTAGTACCTACCTTAATGGACCGCCAGTTATTTATATCACGTGGCCTCGTGTGTGATTTAATATTTTTGAAAATACCAAAATTACCCTTAAAATAAAACACTGTTCATTATCTTCCTTTTGGTACGCCCCTACGGTGGATGTATCGGAGGTCTGATCGGTTCAGGGGATGGAGGGGTCCTAGACCGATTCCCCTGAACCAGTTTTGAAAAAAAAATAAAATAAATAAAAAAACAAATATCGAAACGCCCGATACACCCCTACCAGCATATCGGGCATATCGATATTTTGGATCTTACTTCTACCTCCTGCACCACCTCTTCTTTCTCTTCTTCTTCTACAGGCGCAAACACCTTCACCAGACCCAAAAGAATTCAACAGCAGCAACATACAGAAAGTATCAAGGAAAGCCCAAGAAGCCGAATGTGCCAACTGTTGTGCTAAGTAAAACACACTGCCAAGTACTGTAAAAAACAAGGCGTAGAGTGGACTGCTCCAAAGTTAAAACCCCATTTTCAATTTATTAATTGGAGTAGGGGGTAGGGCGGCAGAGAGGCAGACCTGTCGTCTGGCTCCTTTGAACAAGACTCTTTGACATCTGATCTGATCAACCCCATATCTGTTAACCCTTTCTCTCTCTCTCTAAATTCAAACCTAACCCAATTCAATGGATTTATCTGTTAACTCCACCCACTGACAGATTGGATGTGCCGAACCGGAACCGGAATTTCTTCCAATCACTCACTCCCCATCTCTCACCACCACGTCTGAAGACATCCAAGAATTCTCAGTTTCTCCGTACACAGATGAAGAAGACAGCTTGTTCTTCGACCCGCCCGACCCATTCCTAGACCTCAATAGCAATCAAATCGACAGGTTTGGCTTGCTTTCGCCCTTGCTTTCGCCCGGAAAAGCCGACTTCAGATTCCAGATGGAGGAGCCATTCTTATGGGAGTACTAGGACTACTGTCTAGAACTAGAAGACGCCCCTAGTCCATCTTCTCCCTTTGTCCCTCCCATCCATGTACACTACTAACTTTCTGGTTTTTACCACATTTGAGCACCAAAGCTACTCCTCCGTCTAAATTCATAGAAATTCAATTCAGGAAACAGCTCGTTCCATTTAAGAAATTGGAACCTCGGCTTATTGGGTTTGTTGTGCCGTGCTACTCAAGTCCAGATGTCCACTTTTTTTTTTTCAGAAGAAGATTTATTGCAGGGTTTGACGGTGGAGGAGATTCTCCATGTCTCCATGTCTCCATGTTTGGTTTGCTAACATGCGCAAAGGGCCGTGGAGTAACAGATTCTTACACCATGTTAAAGTGATCAGACGGCACTAGCCGACAATCTTTGTTTTATATACTGACAGGAAGACGTTCTGACCTTCCTCGGGTTCTGTGATAGTGTGAATATGATTTTCATTGGCTTTGATTTTAGTGGTATTTTAAAGTTTGGATATTAAATTGGTACTGGGCGTTATAGGGAATTTTCTCATATATTTATTAGTAGAAAACCTTAAATTTATATCTATCAAAAGGAAAGCTCTACCATTTCATTTGAATATTGAATTAAGCTAGAATCTTACAAGGATCTATCAAAGCAACTAAGAGGACTTTTATGTATGTATGTACGACTAATTGGATCATAAACCGTTCAAAAAATAAGCAAAGGGTAGTTTGAGGATTTAAAAATTTTAAAATAATCGAATGAGAACCTTCTTTTTTAACATAACTAATAGAACTCTAATGGAAGGGGTATTTGTCGCATAGTGAAAGTTCATGGGGTAATTGTTAGTTCAAAGGGGGATAATTGTTACTGATCCCATAATAAAAGGGGGTCATTGTAATTTACCCTTTTATGTGAAAATTATGATTTACGCCACCTCACAAATTCCTATTTAACTTTGAATTGTTTTGATTCCCCCACTTGTGGCTTTTTGTAATAACAAATTTGAGAGGTGGGGGAATCAATAACTTACCCTTTTTTTATAAAGGGCAATTTTGGGCTTCTTGATTTTTTTTAACAAACATTGTTTGCAAAACAAGGTTTTAAAAACCAACCCAAAAACAAAATCACTTTGGTCACTAGTTTCTGGTTAGTGGTTCAACTGTATAAATTGAACAATTCGACTCGTAATATTAATTTTGAGAAACAAACCTTGAATTAAATTTGTATTTTAATTTAGAATATTTATTCCAATGGTTTCCACTAACATTGATGCTCAAAAAAAGCTTTAAAAGCATATGGATTAATTTATTAGGATATAGGGGACTAAGGGGGAGAGATCAGAGGTGAGATATGAGAGGTTAGCTAAATCGCTACTCAGGTCAAACAATTTAGCGGTTCGATTGCTTAGGGCAATGGTTTTTTGACAAAGTCAATATTTTTTTTCATAAAAAGTGGCCCAACCCAAAACCGAATCAATTCTCGAGTCAAATGGTCTAACCGTCCAATCCGATTTTTAAGACAATGTTACAAACTACCTGATATCACTTGCCTAGCAAAGCCAAAAGCTAAACCATCACAAATAAAATATCAATGCCTGTTTGGGAGGAATTTGGATCATCTGCAAACAAAAGATGTGCCAACACCCTCCCAACATGATATGAGTCATAAGACACCACACATCTCAGCATGAGACTATGACCCACCATGCATGAGATATGTGGTGTGAGTGGTGTCAACTCATGTTGGTTGGGAGGATGTTGGAATGTCTTTCGTTGGCAAGTGATCTCAACTCATTTGAGAGGGCTTATGATGTGTTCTAAGTGGACCGAGCCTAGCAACCTATAAGCAATGTTTGGTGAAAATCCAAAAAAAAAAAAAAACACTCAAAACAACTATCTTACAATTGACGGTGGATTAGAGTCGAGTTGAGTTGAGCTAAATAGTATCAGGCTCAAGCTCAACTCAAGTAAAAAACTCATAAGCTCGAGCTCGATTTGAGGAAAAATATTTTATAAAAATAAAAAAATTATATATAAAAAATATTTTATATTTGATATTTAAAATATTAAGAATTATAATATTTTTATTATATGTATTATTCTCTCTCTCTCTCTCTCTCTCTCTCTCTATATATATATATATATATTCGAGCTCGACTCTAGGCTCGAGATCAACTCATTTATTAATCAAGCCTATAAATTGGGCTTGAGCTCGATTGAAACCGAGCCGAATCGAGCTTTTCACAAGCCGAGCTTGAACAGCTCGTGAAAAACTCAACTCGTTGCCACCCTTATTAGTTACAACCAAAAATTCTTTTGGTGGCTTTAGCCTTTAGCTTTTTCAAATAAAAGCAGCTTAATCAAAGCTTCAACCCTTCCAAACGGACCTTAGATTTTATGTTTTTATAAATTATTTGGAGTGTCGTGCTTAAAAGTGTTTTAAAGCAAAAACTTATCCAAATCCCTTTTAAATTTAAAATATTTTAGCATTCTGCCGTATCAACTCGGATTATCAAGTCAGCATTATCCCATCGAGTTGGAGATTTTTGACTTGTATCTGATTTCCCAATTTTCCACAACACTTCACAAGTTCACAGTCTTATCCTAACCCGGAGTCGAAAATAGTTTATCAATGACTATCAGAGAAAAAAGTCGGAAATTATTTTTCGAAATAAAGTATTGTCTTTTTTTTGGATAGGGATGTAATATTCACTTCTCGCATCATAGGTGGGGAGAGAGCCCGTATATAAAATCGGCAAGGTCTTCAAGCTTTCGTGGCTTCGTGCTGGTTTTTTAGCTGCTCCTGATAGAACTGTTTCAAATAGTACGTCTTCGGTCTTCCGGTCTTCGTTTGTTGATCTTGGCACCATTTGTTGGCCATCGGAAGGGAATCAGTGGCCGAATCACACACAGAGGGCTTCATCTGCTCAATCCCTACGATCAGGTCTCTTTGTCCTTTCACACCCTACTCGGAATCAGGGTAACTTTTCGGTTCATATTTCTTTGACCTCGATTGGTCAGAGGAAGCACTTGTCAATAGTACGAAATCTTTTCCCCTCTCGATCTTGTCCTTCAACCAGAAGCATCTGTTCTTTTAATCGAATATTCAGCTGATTATATTTGTGTCTGATTTTTGATACATAGCTGTCTTCTTTGAGTGCATTTGAGTTTAAGACGAATTCGAAGCGATCAAGAATAGGATATGTTGTTTTCCATAGGGTTTATGAGTGGTGTAATGTGATTTCTTTATTTTCTATTGGGCTCTGAGTTAAATTGGTTATGTTGCTCCCGGGTTCATGGTTTCAAAAGTTCTGAGCTAGGTTGAAGTTTAGACTTGTTTGACTTTTTGCTGTTCTCACCACTAGACTGAACTTTACCGACCATGGAGAAGTCACTGACTCTTTCTTTTCAATATTAATGCCTTGGGATCTCTCTAGCCTCCCTAACCCAACATCTTTATGTGTGTTGTTGGTCTAAATGGAGTTCATTCTTTGTTGTGATAAATAGCATGCTGGATATATGGATTGGAAATGGTCTAAGCTCACTTTTATATATATTATATTAGTTCTTACAATATACAGTAAAATTCATTTTGGTCTACCATATTGTTATAGTTTGCAAAGCTTTGGTCTTATGGTTGGCTTACTCTTTCAAAATAAAATAAGTTGGCTTATTCTTTCTATGCATGCTTTCAGATACATAAGTGCTGCTTCTATGAGCTGATGCCAGTGTCACAAAGATTTTCCATTTGGAACTGGTAAATACATTATGCTGCCCGTCCATGAGAATCAAGGGCAGTCAGAAGTCATCTTAGCTAATGAAGATAACAGAGTTTTTCAATCTCATTTTACAATCCTACCATCCAGCTACATGGGTAGAACTAGTTGCTGGCGCACTTGTGCTTTTAACTCTTTCACTTTCAACATACCTTTTATTTGAGCACCTTTCGGCATATAAAAATCCCGAGGTTCTCGTCCAAATCCTTGTATTCATAAGGCTTATTTGAGCTATAAATATGCCCATTGCTTTTTCCATAATTAATTCAAAGTTATTTCTGTCTTCTTCTAACAGGAACAGAAGTTTCTAATTGGTGTTATCTTAATGGTTCCTTGCTATGCTGTTGAATCGGTATGCTTTTGAGTCAAGACTGTATGATACCAGGAACAAATATTTACATTTTGCACATGGTCAAATCCATTGGTGACATCTCAAGTACTTTGATTTATTGATATTAAAAATTTATTGGTCTCTATATTTTGTCTTTTTAATTAATTTTTATTAATTATTAACTACTTTCAAGCACTATCTTTCGAGCTATATCTTTTAATCTGGATTGTTTACCTGCTTCCTGTGCATTCTGCGGAACAACATATCATGTTGTTTGACCTTGCATTCGCTTGTGCAGTTTGTATCGTTGGTTGACCCATCAATTAGTGTTGATTGTGAGATTCTGCGTGACTGCTATGAGGCTTTTGCCATGTATTGCTTCGGAAGATACCTTGTTGCTTGTCTGGGTATGTATCTGTGCAAAGGCCTGCTCTGCATTGATATTCACCTTTTTTTTCCAAGAATTTGCTGCATTTCTATTATTATCCACTATCAAACTTTTATTTGTCACAATGCATTGTCTTGTAATGTCTAATTATTATGGTTGTTAGTAGATCAAGTTTTTAGTTTCCATGGTAATCCAGTTTAATTGTCAAAATGTTGAACAAGGTCCACCCCTTCCCATTTCATTGATATGAAATTTGTAGTTCAGTTCCACTTATACGTCAAGTCATTCCTCCCAACCACTCCTTGAGTGAGAGTATTGCCCTTTGGAGTTGCAGACCTAGGAATTCATCTAAACAAGGTGCTAACTGTGAACATCAAGGCTTTGGCTCCATAGAATGATGTCTCAATATCAATGGGCTCTCAAAGCCCTCTTGCATGCATTCAGTGATGACTTGAGGTCCCCCTTCTATATCAGTCTGTCAAAGCCCAAGCACTGGAATATGGCTAATGTAAAACCTCGATAATCTCCTCCCACCCCCTACCAAGATGGTGCCCTCACCCCCCCCCCATTCATCTGAAAATGCCACCTGTATTTAAGATGCCTGGTTCCAAAGAGGGGACCAAACATGCACTGTTGTGCTGCTTTTGAGTAGGGGTCTCTAGAAATAGATGCAAGGATAAAAGATGATTAGTCAGAGGTGAAGTCCCACAAATATATTGATTTTGGAGCTAGAGACAAAAAAAAAGAGGCCATTAAATGTTGGTCCCAGCTATTTGGGATCTTGGGAGGGGTGGACTGAATATGGACCTAAAATTTTGGCTTTTTTTTTTTTTTTTGCAAATTTGGTGCTGTCAAACGCAATATCCTATCTGACCTTTGTCAGCCTGAGATTTTTACCCTTTTTGGAAAATAGCATGTTAAAGCATATAAATTTGTTACATGGATTCCAATGCAATGCCCACTGTGGTGGTTAACCATACTACCATAGTTAACCAACATTAGACCCCCCAAACTAATCCCTACAAATAATTTCTTGATGCCCCTTGCTTAGCTATTGAATTTGCTAAAGCATCTGCAGATCTTGGTATCCAAACTCCCGTGGCACAGAGAACATTCAATAGTTATTTTTTCCTCCCTTATTGCATGTCTATATTTCCATGGGCCTTCTTGGTTTCTTTTAAGCCACCCTGTAACCACTTTTGAATCTCCTTCAACTATGATTCACCTTAGTTCATAGATTTATCCCTTTTACCCCTTCTAGAACTTCCCATAATCCTGCTCTAATGGAAGCTCCATAGCCTGCAGGTCCAGAAGAAAGTGCTATAACATGCCCCTCATCATCTCTAAACACACCCCCAATTCCAGATTGTTTCGAAATGCCCAAGTCTGCACCCATCAAAGTTCAATTTGATGAGGCCTGCCACCAGATTTTCCAACTAAATTGTCACTGGTGGTTTTCTTGATGATGATGATTCAGCCACTGATTTCCAGTTTCTTAGTATATCATCAGTAGTAAACAAACTGAACTCCTTCCTTGTTTTGACCCAGTGTGCCATTTTGATTAAAATGTTTTAAATGATCTCTCCCGTGCTTCTCTCTTTATCCTTAAACAGCCCTGCATGTCTCTCTTCACAAATAGACCATTACACTGGCACCCTTGTGCATTTTATAATGTCTTGCCTCTTCTTTTCCTTGGATAGAAATAAGAAGGTTTGAATATGCTTCTTAGGTTGGATGGAGGGATCCACCTGCATCAAAAAAGATCAAGGAAAATCATCCAAATAGCCTATACATAAATGTAAGAGATTGGCAAGTGGAAAGAGTTTCCACTGTATGATTGCATAAGGGGCAGCAGTGAGGGGAGATACACCAATAAGGTTTTTGCTATAAGTTCTCACGAGTATTAATTGTATCATGATAAATCTCCCAACAGAAGTCTCTTATCTTTGGCAGGACTGTTCCAAGTGGCACTAATTGGACAAGACAAAGCAAAACTTGGGTTTCTGACTAGCTCATTGAAGAGGGAAGCACAAGAAAAGGAACCAGAGGAAGTAAATGCCCAAACCCTGCTATCACTCCTTTAGGCATCTAAGAAAATCCCTTCTAAAGAATTCAGCAGAGATCACAATAGATCCCCTCCTGAGACCAAGATTCCAAACCAAGCCATTTTGAGAGATGGAGACACATTGAAACACCAGAGCACCTTTTAGGTGAAAAATAGAGAAAAATGAGGGGGAATTTATCTTTTAAAGTCTGATCACCCCACAAAAGACATGAACCAGGAGAACTGACATAATAGATTTTCAAGGAGAGGAATGAGAAATTCTAGAGTTTAAGTTTGCATCCCATGGTTTTATGCCACAGTTTGTCTGAGTCTCTAGGAAGTCTCCACACACTTTCCAAGAAGAACCACATTCCTGCTTCTCAACCTGCCCAAACCTAAGCCTCATCCTTACTGGTGCACACCAGGTCCCACTTAATCAAATGATCTTTTCTAGTGTCCCCTTGGTCCCATAGAAAGCCCCTCATTATTTTCTCCAAAACTTTGGCAACACTAGCTGGGATCCTAAAGACAGACAGGTAGAAGATGAGTAGAGTAGCTAGGGTTGATTTTGTTAAGGTAATTCTATCCTCCAAGTCCAAGGAGACGTAGTTCTTCTTCCAAGCCACTAATTTCTTAAGAGAACTTATCAATGACAGGATTCCAAAAGTTAAAAGTCCTAGGATTACCTCGTAGGGGATGTCCTAAGTATCTAATTGGCCACCCAAATACTGAACATCCCAAAACCTCTGCAAATCTCCTCACCTTCTCCTCCATATTGATTTCATCTATAGAGCTCTTTCCCAAATTTACCTTCAAGTTTGAAGCCTCTTCACATCTGCAAACTGTAAATGGGATACCACCAATTAATGCCATTGACAGAAACATATGTATCTTTTTTTTGATAGATTGAGACATATGTATCTCTGATAACATTAATGCTTCCTACAGACTCCACTTGTAGTTTTGTCACCCTAACTTATTCCACTACAAGGCTCTTCTTTAACATTGCAAGCTCTGATCAAGACTCATGCAATTTCAACCAGCATGTGAAAGAGTATTAAATGAAAGGCTCATATTTTTCTTTTTGGTTTGCAGGTTATTCGGGCATAGTAAATTAATATCAGCATCCTAGATTCCTTTTGTATTTTGACAAGTCAATGTTAAGATCATATCTTGAATTAATTACCTGGTGAGGAACTTGGTAAATAGTTACTTATGGGTGGCAAGAGTAGAAAATGGTTTGACTGATACAATAACCAAAAAAGGAGTGAATAGGGATTTTTTTTTGTATATTTGTAATTAAGCAATTGTGATAAGAGGGGATAGGGCTGGGTAGCAGATGCTAGCCCTAGCATAGGAGTGCTTTGCACTTAATGCTTAATGCTTGTACATAAATTTTCTCATAATATAGTTTCACTGTTAACAACAAAAAGGATGATATCTTGAAAAACAGAACTGATTAAAAAAATTATTCTATAAACAGAAAACTGCAGCCAGCTAAGGAAACTTCTAAAAGTGCAAATGCACACTCACATCCTGGTAGATGTGCTAGTAGTTTGTCTTTCCTCTTTAATATTATGCCATTTATTTTCCTCTCTTATCTGAATGATTTGTTATGGAGTTAGCTTTGTACATTTTCATTTTACTTGACTAGCTTTATTCTTCTATTTAGGTGGGGAGGAGAGGACAATCGAGTTTATAGAGAGGCAAGGACGTGCAGGTCCTAAAACTCCCTTGTTAGAGCCTAGTTCTGAAAGGGGAGTTGTAAAGCATCCTTTTCCAATGAATTATCTCTTAAAACCATGGAAACTCAATCAGTGGTTTTACCAAGTTATCAAGTTTGGAATTGTTCAATATGTATGTTTCCTTTGAGCCAGAGAGTTATCTTCTATCTGTCTTCCCCCCAACCCCCCCTCCCTCAGACACAAACTCACACACTTGAAAGCAAATAATCTACTGCTTCATTTTTATGTTATTATTATTGTTTTTTTTTGCAGATGATAATAAAGACTTTTACTGCCATTTTAGCTGTCATTCTTGAAGCCTTTGGAGTGTATTGTGAAGGAGAGTTCAAATGGGGTTGTGGGTAAGCTGATGTCAACATCCATTGACTACAGAGTTATTGCTACAATTAGACATGTAATAAGAAGCACATGTTTGTGCATGCATAAGAAGCACATAGCACGCTACAGAGTTATTACTATTAGCATAGTAATAGTTGAATTTATGGGACCAATTACCGAAGGCAAGTTTGTGCATGCATAAGAAGCACATCAAGCCATCATCTGCTTGTCCCACCTAAGTGGAGACCAGATGCACATAGCACGCTCTCCCATTTGTCTTTATCTGAGGCCATATGCTTTGTTGAATAATGAGCTCACAAATGTTTTTCTCACTTCTCACGATAAGGAAGTAACACAAAACATACAACTATCTACAAATATGAGAAAATGCATATTGAGATCTAATGTTAGAATCAAGATTGAAATAACCAGCTTTGTTGTTTAATAAACAAGATTTCATCGAGTAGAGAAGGAGCAGAAGTGAGGGATCTAAGAGCCTTTCCTTTTTTAGCAGAAAGAAGATGACAAGGAGAGGTAGAGACAATAACGAAGGGGATGAACAAAAAGGGGAAGTCTTACTGGGCAGCAATTCCTTTGGCTGTTATCTGGGCTGTGTGCTTAAAAGGAACAATAGGGTGTTGTACCTTCTTTCTATTTAATGAAATTTCTGGTTATTGATAAAAAAAAAATAAAGGAACAGCAGGGTGTTTCAATCTAAAGACCATCCTGTTGAGCACGTCATCAACTCTTCCTTGGAGCCTGGTTGAACTGTAATGGTTTGTTTGTGAATACAATAAGACAGCAAGAGGGTGCTAAGAGCCTTTTCTTTTCCAGGGGGATAAAAATAACGGAGAAGTACGGATACACCCATACCCGCCCGTGAATTGGCATCAATTCCGAGCTGGCACCTACCCCAAATGTACTTTGAAAGTACAAATTCTGACACTAGGGGTATCGGTCATTCTCCCTAAAAATAAAGAGTGTTTCTTATTCTGCACTGGTTCTTTGGATATGGAGTTAGAAGAATGAATATTTCTTATTTGAAGACTTGGAAAAAATAGAAGAGAATTGAAAACGAATTGTGGGGTAGAATACACTCTTGGATTGCAATGAATAGATTGTTTACAGATATACTGTACAGCTATTTTTTGAATACTGCATTGTTATTTTGTAATGCATAAGCAATACTTTTTGTAAAGGTGGAGGTATCTTTTGGCACAGCTAGTTGTTGTGCAGGTGGTTTTTTTTTTCTTTCTTTTTTCAATACATTACTGATGGTGCGCAATCCAGCTGGTCCTAGCTGTCAACGACCTTGCCTCTGAATGGAGCTACAGGGAGCCTGAAACAGAGAATATGAGGAAGCTCCGGGGGGAACCTGGTATGAATGCTCCGAAGCTCAAGTTAGAATTCTTTCTTAGGCAAGATAAAACCAGATGGCGCAAAGTTCACATACCTTGTTCTTGGGGGGTAGGGGGCCTTTTATAACCACCTCGTGCACTCACTCCTAAGCTTCTGTCAGGTCGGGTATGATTACCTCTGGGCTCCTGCCAGTTCGGGTGTCATCCCCTCTGTTGGACAGAACCACCACTGCTCCCTTTTGTCGGAGCCGTCTATGCGGTTGGCGATGATGGTGGCAGGTAGCGGTGGCAGGTGACCGTTGAAGTGCGGCTGTCAAGTGTCAGATCCCAAGTTAGTCAGGTGCGCCGCCCTTGGATACGGACCTCCTCGGTGTCAGGTATGGTACGTTTGTTCAGTTTGGCGTTCCGGAGGCGAAGTGCTGGAGTGGCGAGAGAGGTGAAGTCTTGAGTTCAGATAGAGGAGTGTCCCGAACTGCCATGAGGCGGGCCAGTTCAGGTCATTACCTTGTGTGGCTCGGGGCCTAAGGGAGAGTTCGGGCTCCTCATAGGGAGTTCAGGCTCCTAGTAGGGAGTTCGGGCTCCTCGTAGGGATTGCTGGTGGGGAGTTCGGGCTCCTTGTAGGGAGTTTGGACTGCTGGTTTTCCTCCCTTTGGTGCTCGCGCCCTGGGCGCGCTGTTGTGCCAAGCTGTTTGCCTTTGCCACGTGTTGAGTGATTACGTGGTCGGGCCAAATCTTCCTTCATCAATTGCCCCCCACTCCTCGTGTTGAGGGTCTTGCCTTGGTGCGGGGAGTTCGCAAGGTGGCAGGTGGATTTGTCCCGTACTTCGAATCTTGGTTGACTGATAGCGCGAGGTGCGTTGTCAGGGTTAGTTTCTTTGAGCGCCCAAAAGATGGAAAACGCGCCGACCTGCCTGCAAATGCTGCCAGACGTGACAGCATGCGCTTTATTTCAAAATAAAAAAAGCGCGCCGTTGGGAGACGTGACAGCAGGCGTCCTTTCAAAATTTGAAAACGTGCCGCTGCCACCTTTAATGTGAGGAGACGTGCGCTGGCGTCCTGTCAGTTTCAGAAAGACGTGTGCCGGTGCTCTATCAGTTTCAAAAAGACGTGCGCCAATCACGTCTCGGTCTCAGCGGACGTGCGGTCGGCACGGTTGCGGGCTGTCGGATTGGCTTTGATCTGTGTTGTTGCTTCTCGGTCACTGTGGGTATAAATAGTGGGGGACCCCAGTCGCTTTGTCACTTGTGTGCTTTGCCTCTTGAGCTCGCGTCCAAGTTTCAGCTCGCGTCTAGGCTTTCAGTTTGCATTCAAGGTTTTCGCTCGTTCAAGTTCCCGTGGTCTTGTTCAAGCTTTTTCCGAGTGAGTACCTTCCTGGAATCCACCTTCTCTCCTCGATGTCTAGCTCGGATAGCTCAGACGATTCTTCAAGTGGGTCAGATGCAGGTTC